CTAATAAGGAAAATAAATCTACTTCAGTATTTTACGTTAATCAGAAGTTATGACGAAACAAAATAAGATCTGAAGCATTCTTGCAAAACATGAAGAATCAATCAAGTCTATGCAACATTATCTAAAAGCTACTGTTGATCATGCTTCTTGACAAAGAGAGATGGACGAAAAACAGACAAAGAAGTAGAAGAAAATAGGTGCGAAGAGAGAGAGAGAGAGAGAGAGAGAGAGAGAGAGAGAGAGAGAGAGAGAGAGAGAGAGAGAGAGAGAGAGAGAGAGAGAGAGAGAGAGAGAGAGAGAGAGAGAGAGAGAGAGAGAGAGAGAGAGAGAGAGGGGAGAGAGAGAGAGAGGGAGAGAGAGAGAGAGACAAGGAGAGAGAGAGAGAGAAAATGTGTGTGAGTGAGTGAGTGCATGAGATAGAGAGATAGATATGGAGATGGAGATAGATATTGAGATCGAGATAGTGATAGAGAATAGATCGGTATACATATATATATATATATATATATATATATATATATATATATATATATATATATATATATATATATATATATACATATATATATATATATATATATATATATAATATATATATATATATATATATATATATATATAATATATATATAATATATATAGATATATAATATATATATATATATATATATATAAGAGAGAGAGAGAGAGAGAGAGAGAGAGAGAGAGAGAGAGAGAGTGAGGGAGAGAGAGAGAGATAGAGAGAGAGATGGATAGATAGATAGATAGATAGATACAGAGAGAAATACAGATAGTTAGAGAGAGAAAAATATCAAGAGATAGATAGGTAGATAGAGATAGAGAGATAGATAATATAGAGTAAATAGATAGATAGAGAGAAATATAGAGAGAAAGATGTATAGATAGAAAGAAATAGAGATAGACAGATAGAGAAAGAAAAGGAAACGCCTTGATGAGAAGAAACTTTCAGCATCAATATCAATGTCCTTTCTCGAGATCTGTATATCTGCAATGCTTCACTAAAAACGAACAGCTTAAAGACGACATGAACAACTTGCCCTCGCGTTTGTTCTCTTTAGGTGAACAAAATGAACAAAATCTTATCGCTTTTTTCGTCTGACTAGAAACGGTTGCTTGTCTAGCCTTTGAACTAGTAAAAGTACATCAAGAATAAGTCAGCTGAGAAACCTGTTCTTGTTTAAATTTTATAAAACAGACAAGCAACATAAACAAACCGCGTTCTTGTGTGCAACAGACAAGCAACATAAACAAATCCGCTTTTTCATCTATCTTATTATTATTATTATTTTAAAAATCTTCCTCAGGCTAATAACAGCCGCTGATTCGCATTTCTTTGCACTGACATCTCAAGAATATGTTAAGAATAGCATTTTGTCGCTATAAGTACCAACAGAGTAAGTCTTAAGAGAATGAAATAATAAGTGGTATTGGATTTAAAATTACAGAGTTACAATAAATGCCTAAGTATTGCACGAAGCGTTGAACAGAGTGCATCCATCACGCCCAAGAGTAGAAGAAGAGAGAAAGACCGAAAGAAAGACATGAGGAAATCCAAATTTCCATCCAATCTATCACTAACCCCTACCCCCCTCCCCCGCCCCCCTTCCCCTTCTCCACCTTATCCTATATAGCCATAATTCCAGCTTGCGACAGAGCCTCAACAATGTGCAATAACATGATATTGCGAGAGTGCTTTTACCAAGGGGACTGTTTTACGGTCGCTTCTCAAACTTTCCCTGAGAGAGATCTACGCGCGGGGGGTGGGGTGGGGTGGGGTGTGGGGGTGTGGGGTGGGGTGTGGGTGTGGGGGGGGGGGATGAACTTGTTACGTGATCGCTGTCTGCAGGCAAGCGATTCTGGAAACTTATTCGAACGGAAAGAAAGAGAGAGAGAGAGAGAGAGAGAGAGAGAGAGAGAGAGAGAGAGAGAGAGAGAAGAGAGAGAGAGAGAGATGAGAGAGAAGAGAGAGAGAGGAGAGAGAGAGAAAGAGAGAGAGAGAGAGAGAAGAGAGAGAGAGAGAGAGAGAGAGAGAGAGAGAGAGAGAGAGAGAGAGAGAGAGAGAGAGAGAGAGAGAGAGAGAGAGAGAGAGAGAGAGAGAGAGAGAGAATGAGAGAGAGAGAGAGAGAGAGAGAGAGAGAGAGAGAGAGAGAGAGAGAGAGAAGAGAGAGAGAAGAGAGAGAAAGAGAGAGAGAGAGAGAGAGAGAGAGAGAGAGAGAGGAGAGAGAGAGAGAGAGAGAGAGAGAGAGAGAGAGAGAGAGAGAGAGAGAGAGAAGAGAGAGAGAGAGAGAGAGAGAGAGAGAGAGAGAGAGAGAGAGAGAAGAGAGAGAGAGAGAGAGAGAGAGAGAGAGAGAGAGAGAGAGATGAGAGAGAGAGAGAGAAGAGAGAGAGAGAGAGAGAGAGAATGTGTGAGAAGAGGAGGAGGGGAGGAGAGGGAGCGAGGAGAGAGAGAAAAAAGAGAAGAAAGAGACAGAAGGAGAGAGTTAGGAGGCAAAAGAGAAGCAGAGAAAGAGGGGAGGGAGGGAGGGAGGGAGGGAGGAGAGAGAGAGAGAGAGAGAGAGAGAGAGAGAGAGAGAGAGAGAAGAGAGAGAGAGAGAGAGAGAGAGAGAAGAAGAGAGAGAGAGAGAAGAGAGGCAGGTAGGTAGGCAAGGCAAGAAGGGAGGGAGGAAGTGGGAGGGAGGAAGAGAGGGAGTGATGAGATAAATAGATAGACTGATAGATAGATAGAGAGAGATCGAAAGGCAAAGAAACCGAAATGCACATAAACACTACCTTCCCTTATGCATTACGAACGTTCGGAAAAGAAAAAAGAAAAAGAAGAAGAAAGAAAAAGGAGAAAAAGAAGAAAAAAAAAAGGTCAAGGAAGTCCCCCAGCGTTCGAGACATATGCCGGCGAGGGATGACAATAAGATGCCCGGATGTAGTTTCGCGATGCCCCGCCAGGGAATTTTCGCGACGCCGAGGGACACTCCGTCGATTCGGCACAATGAGCTATTTTATAATTCGGATTCAGGGTTTATTATTCGCCCGAGAATGAGTCTCTGCAGCGAAGGCGTCCGACTCCCCTGCGAGTGAGTCATGAATGGCAGGGATCTTATGTACGTTTGAGTCGTCCCCATGAATGAGTCTTGTAACCGTATGGAATGGGGGTATGAGGGACCTTTGACTCGCCTCTGAATGAGTCACACATCTGTACAGAATGGGTTTTAATCTATTGTACGGTCGACTCACTTAAATGAGTCCCAATAAATTATGGAATAGCTTTTAATCTTCTGAACGTTTTACTCACCTGAATAAGTCTCAAAAAGTTTGGAATAGGTCTTCATCTTTTGTACGTTTGACATATCTCATAAATGCGTCACCCATCTGTATAGAATGGGTCCTAATCTTTTGTACGTTCGACTCATCTTAAGAATAAGTCTCATAGATGTATGGAATAGGCTTGAATCTTTTTTTACGTTTGACTCGCCTATTAAATGTGTTACATTCATCTTTGTGTACACATTACTGTGTTTGTGTTTGTGTTCAACATCTGTATAAACTTTTGTACGTTCTAAGCTTTTGTACGCGTTTGACTCACCCCGTGAATGAGTCATCTCTATCCAGTGAAAGGACTCCTATGCTATCGACTCATAAATAACACACAGTATGCATATTATGGCTTCTAACATGCCTACACTGTTTACTTGTCCTATCTGTAAATAAGCCACAGCAATGAACACAATATCCTCTAAGTGAAGGCAAGAATGCGGCAGAAGTCCTTTCTTTCCACGCTCCAAGACGTCAAACAGCATTCTCTAAATCTCTAAAACTATACACATTAGACGCTAACATGGCGGAGCAATAATGCTTACCCCCCCTTTACTAAATGCGAGGAAACAACACCTAGAAACAGAAGACTGGTCGATATGATACGCAGGTTCGTGTTTTCTTTGCTATTTGTAACTAAGTATATTCTTAGCTTACTTTCTATTCGATGAAAGTAAAGATGATGATGATGATTATTAATGATAATAATAATAACAATAATAAATAATATAATAATAATAATAATAATAATAATATAATAATAAATATAATAATAATATAATATTAATAATAATAAATAATAATAATAATAATAAAATAAAATAATAATAAAAAATAATAATGATAATAATAATAATAATAATAATAATAATAACAATAACAACAAAATAATCATGATGATGCTGATAATAATAATGATGATAATAAGGATAATCATAATAGCAATAAGAGCAATAATAATAGAAATAATAAAGGTAGTTCTAGACTAGGCAAAGACAAAGTCTCCTGTGTTTGTTTACCGCAAAGACAACACCTACTCCCCACCTCCCTCTTAAAAACGAAGCAAAAACTAAACAAGAACCTTTAATTAATGTCGCGACACATACATAACTCGCGACATATTCACGTACATATGTATATATTTCAAATCTGAGTTCATAATTTGTTTCAGGTGTATATCCAATAAAAGTTCTTTACATAGATATTCTTACAAAATCTAGCATGCACTACAATACCACTAAAACTAACGACTATGATTAAAATGAAAATAAAAACAACCAAAGCTATCGTGTTGTACCTTTCAGCAAAACAAAAACTGTAAGACTGTACGCTGAAGTTCAGTAAAAGATTGAGAGTCTTTGACGCTCAAAAGAGGGGCAAACTGGAGGTCTGACACTTAATTAGGACAAACTAGAAGTCTGAACCTCAATTAGGGACAAACTGGAGGTCTGACAATTAGGGACAACTAGAAGCTCTGAACTCATTAGGGACCAACTGGAGTCTGACACTAGGACAAAGAGAAGTCTGAACCTCAATTAGGGACCAACTGGAGGTCTGACACTCCAATGAGGGACAGAAACAAGTCCGACACTCATTTAAGGACAAACTGGAAATGTGACACTTAAAAGAGGGACAGAAGCACATCCGCCACTCGCGTAAGGAGCAAGCTGGAGTGCATTGTGTTTATTGCAACTGTTGTGAAGAGATGAGGAAGAATGAATACATCTTGTGTTGTGAAGATATTCGTCCTCAGACTAAGCGGAGGCCTGACACTCAGGAATAGATTGACAGACACCGAGGAACCAACAACGATAGACCATAAAACCCCCATCACTCGCGTCTGACACTTAATGAAACATAACGACAACCTGACAACCCCATTTTTAGAGGGGGGAAAACAATAAAAAAAAAAAAAAAATCAGCAGGAATTGGGTACACACTGACGACTAGACCGCATCAGAGGCTGACAGTCATCAAGGGAAGGTACTAACTTGACGAGGGTGAGGTTCTCCCGGGGGATCCCCTTCAGGTCCTTGATGGTACAAGTTCCACCTCCAAACTCGTAATTGGGGTTGTACTCGGTGACCATCCGGCGCGACTCGGCTCGGATCGTGTGCAGCTGGTCGTCGGGTCCTCGGGAGAACTCGCGTCGCATCAGGTCGAATTTCTTGCGCTGGGTATGGTTGTCTGTTTCGGTGGGAGTGAGAGAGGGAGAGGCGGAGAGGGTTTGGAAAATGGGAGGTGGAAAGGGATAGGACAAGGGGAGGTCTGAAAGGGGAGGTGGGGAGGGAGGGTGGGAACGCTGTGGCAGAGAGGAGGCGAGATGAGGTTTGAATGGATAGTTGGAGGGGAGGTGGGAGTGAAGAGAGGAGGGCGAGAGAGGGTTTTGGAAATGAGGGGAGGGGGAGGTGGAGGTGAGAGAGGGAGAGGCGAGAGAGGGTTTGGAATGGGATGGTTGGGAGGGGGGTGGGAGGGGAGGTGGGAGGCGAGAGAGAGAGGCGAGAGGGTTTGGGGAATGGGAAGAGGTGGAGAGGGGGAGGGGAGGTGGGAGGGGGAGGTGAGAGGGGAGCGGCGAGAGGGGTGGAATGGAGGTGGAGGGAGGTGGGAGGGGATGGAGCGAGAGAGGAGAGGCGAGAGGGGTTTGGAATGGGGAGGTGGGAGGGGGGGTGAGGGGAGTGGGAGGCGAGAGAGGGAGAGCGAGGAGGGTTTGAATGGGAGGTGGAAGGGGGAGGTGGAAAGGGGAGGTGAGGGGAGGTGGGAGGTGAGGAGGGAGAGCGACGAGAGGGTTTGGAATGGGGAGTGGGAGGGAGTGGAAAGGGAGGTGGAGGTGGGGGAGGGGAGGGAGGTGGAGGGGGGGAGGAGGGAGGGAGAGGGAGAGGGAGGCGAGAGGGTTGAATGGGGAGGTGGAAAGGGGAGGTGCGAGGGAGAGGGGAGAAGGGTGGGGAAGGGGAAGGTGGGAGGGAGAGGTAGAAGGGGGGACATGAGAGGAGAGTGGGACGGGAGGTGAGAGGGAGAGGGTGAAGGGGAGAGAGAGTGAAAGGGGAAGTTAGAGGAAGAGGGACGGAGATGATAGCCAGAGGGGAGGGGAGGTGGGAGGTAGAAAGGAGAGGTGAGAGGGAGAGGGAATGTGAGTGGAGGGGAAGGGGGGGGGTGGAAGAAGAGAAAAAGATGAAGGAATGTGGAAGGGGAGGTGGAGGGAGGAGGAAAGTGGACGGGGAGGAGAAAATGGGAGTGGAGGAGAGGGTGAAAGAGGGAGAACAAGAAAGAGAGGAATGATCAATTAATGTCACTATTCTAATGGGCTAACATAACATAATATCCTCATCTCATACATGACACCAAATCATATCATATATGGCATGTTAAGACCTATTATCATGATATGAGGAATTCTAGTATACACGAAAGTCGAAATAAAATCATCCACATAAAGTCATCCACTTAAACATTAAAATCTAAATTTATGTTGAACCCAAAACCAAAATCCATTTAAAACTCCAATTTCCTATAATAGCTAAAAAAAAAAAAAAAAAAAAGTATGTGGCAAGAGCCGCAAGGGTTCCTAATTACTCTAATTATGGTATCCTAGCAAAAGCAAATTCTAATATTCTTTTTTATCCACTTTGTATCCTATAAGCGCATGGCAGTAATTAGATGTCATATCTCTGAGAAAACACGCCACACATTTTCAGTAACTTCACCTACGCTTTCTATTCATCTAAATCTTCAAAATTGATTGGTTTATTTATTCTATTTATGGCATTTCTCCTATTTAGCTTCTGGATGAATCTTTCATTTGGCTGTAGATATGTAGTTTCATGTGGTCGAGTTTCCCCGTATCGAATATCAGACAAGTGATAAAATCTACGGTAAACACAACCCGCATTTCACATATTTCCGATGTAATACTATTATCTAATGCTTTGATCACGTATCAAATGTACCACAGCTTACCCACGCCTGTGAAGTTAGCCAGGGTGGTAAATAAAGGACTAAACTAAATTTTCATTATCCTTAGAATACATATACTTTAAGTATTGCTGTTGTTGTACATGGTGGCACAGTTGTGATTACAATTATCGCAAAGCCGTGATCATATTCATACTGTTATCATATCCTTTATTATAATTATTATTATTATCATTAGAGAGAGAGAGAGAGAGAGAGAGAGAGAGAGAGAGAGAGAGAGAGAGAGAGAGAGAGAGAGAGAGAGAGAGAGAGAGAGAGAGAGAGAGAGAGAGAGAGAGAGAAGAGAGAGAGAGGAGAGAGAGAGAGAGAGAGAGAGAGAGAGAGAGAGAGGAGAGAGAGAGAGAGAGAGAGAGAGAGAGAGAGAGAGAGAGAGAGAGAGAGAGAGAGAGAGAGAGAGAGAGAGAGAGAGAGAGAGAGAGAGAGAGAGAGAGAGAGAGAGAGAGAGAGAGAGAGAGAGAGAGAGAGAGAGAGAGAGAGAGAGAAGAAAGAGAGAGAGAGAGAGAGAGACGAGAGAGAGGAGAGAGAGAGAGAGAGAGAGAGAAGAGAGAGAGAGAGAGAGAGAGAGAGAGAGTGAGAGAGAGAGATAAAGAAAGAGAGAGAGACTGAAAGATAGGTAGATAGATAGAGATAGAAAGAGGAGAAAGAGAGAAAAAAGTGAGTGAGAGAGATTAGAGTGATGAGAGATAGATAAGTAGATAGATAGATAGACAGATAGATAAGTAGATAGATAGATATACAGATAGATATATAGATAACGAGAGAGAGAGAAGAGATGATAAAGAGAGATAAGAGAGATAATAGATAGATAGAGAGAGATTGCGAGAGAGACAGGCAGATAGAAAGACAGATATATAGATCGATGAACAAAGAAAAAGAGAAGAGAAACACAGACGGCAGGAGACTAAGAAAACAATTTAGGAAATCGAACCTTATTGGCTTGTAAGGGCGAGTGCTAATCAAAATAGTCTTACAATAGAGGTTTTGTTAATAGGAATTACTTTCGTCCTGTAAGACCGGTTTGCCTAGCGCTCCCAACTCGACTTATGAGGCTGACTTGATTGTGTTTTTGGGCTCCTCTTCATGTTCGACTCGTTGCTTTCTTGGTGCCTGGGTTTTTATTGTCTGTTTTTTTTTTCTTTTTTTTTTGATAGGAGAAATCTGTCTTTATTGTGTTTTCGGTTTATTTGTCTTTGTGTTTTATTATTTTGTTTGTTTTTTTTTGTTGTTTTTTTCTGCCATTTTCTTCTTCTATACTTCTATCTATCTATCTATCTTCGTCATGACTTTTTTTCTCTTTCTCTCTCCCTCCCTTCCCCCTTTTCTTTCCCTCTCTATGAACTACCTATCTATCAACTATTTTTCCCACCTCCTCTCCTCTCCTCTCTCTCCCTTCCCTCCTCTCTCCCCTCCCTCCTCCTCCCTCCTTCCCTCCTCCCTCCTCCCTCCTCCCTCTCCTCTCCCTCCCCCTCCCTCCCTCCCTCTTCCCCTCTCCTCCCTCTCCCTCTCCCTCCCTCCCCTCTTCCCTCCCCTCCTCCTCTCCACTCTCCCTCCCTCTTTCCCTTCCTTTCCTTCCTCCCCTATTCCCTCCTTCCCTCCCCCCCCCCCCAAACAAACCGAAAGAGATACTCACAGCAGCAGATCGACGTCGTGGAGATAATGATGATGACGATAATGAAGAGACCGATGATGATGGGATACGCCGTGTGCCACAGGAGGCTGCCTGTCTCG